TTTTACTCAGTGTACGTATTATGTATGTATGTATGTATGCATGTATGCATGTGTATATATGTATGTAAGTAATGTTCTTTCAAGGGAAACCCTATTTAGCCCTGGCTGCCCTGGTAGTTGCTCTGTAGATCAGACTAGCCTTGAGCTCACAGAGATTCACCTGCCTCTGCCTCCCAAGTGCTGAGATTAAAGGCATGTGTCCCTAGAGGCTAGAAGAGGGTGTTGAATCTCCTGGTGCTGGAGTTACCAGGCAGCTCTGAGCTTCCTAAGATGGGTGCTGGGAACTGAGTATCCTGAAACGTTGCTGAACCTGTAAAATAGGTCTAGTAATGTTGTGTTCTTTAGGAAATTGTGTGTGTGTGTGTATGTGTGTGTGTGAGTGTGAGTATGAGTGAGGAAGGAATAGTTCTAATTCTTTCCAATTGAGTTTTATTTCTCCTTAATTTCATTTTCTTGCCAGTCTTTCCTCATGAGAACATCCAGGATAATGTTGAATAGAAGTGGTGGGAGCCTACAATTAACTTTTTCTATATCTCAGTAGGAAGTCCTCAGCTCAGTATCTCAGCAGTAATTATGATACTAGTTGTGGGGGTATCCTTTTATTTGTAGGTGGTTATATGGATGTTTTGTTTTAATTATGAAAGTGTTAGTTTGTCAAATGCCTTGCTTTGCTTTGATTGAGACGATTATACAGTTTTTCTTTATTTGTTAAATGGTGTATTCCATTGATTTTGTATTCTACCCACCTTGACACAGAATTTTAAATGCTGTTGGGATTAGTTTGAAAGTATTTTTTTGATGTTTCAGAAGAAATATTGATTTGTGTTTTACTTGGGGCCTTTACATCTGGCTTTGTTATCAGAATAATGCTGACCTCAAATGAGTTAGCAAGCATCATTTGTTTTGAAAGGATTTGAGAAAGGTTGGTATTGATTCTTCTTTAGACACTTGGTAGAATTGGGTAGTGAAGCCATCTGGTCCAAGGCTTTGTGTGTGTGTGTGTGTGTGTGTGTGTGTGTGTGTGTGTGTGTGTGTGTGTGTGTGTATTAGGGGTATGTGTGTGTGTGGTTTTTTTGTTGTTGTTCACTAATGATTTACCATTTTTACTTATAGGTGTGTCACTCCATTGAAGAAAACTGATTTTTTTTCCTCCCCCAGAAGCTATCGGCTTGGACTTGTGCAGGTCTTGTGCATGCTGTCACAGTCTATATGAGTTCTTATGTGCTCAGCCCTGTTGTGTATTGAAAATACTATTTCTTTGAAGTCATCTACCACCTCCAGCTCTTATAGTCTTTCTCCTTACTCTTCCTCATGGATCCTTGAGCCTTGAAGGGAGGGGTGTGATAGACATCCCATTTAGGACCAAGTGCTCTGAAGTCTCATTCTCAGCACACTGTCCAGTTGTGATTCCCTGTGTCATTGCTATCTTATTACAGGAAGCTTTTCTGATGCAGAATGAGGGCTGCACTGCTCTGTGGGTGTAGCAATATGTCATTTGGAGTAATTTTTTATCTCTGTGTTCATTTAGCCAAATAATAGCAGTAGGTTTCCCTTCAGGGTCCATGACCTGTATAATCTCAGTTTCTTGCCCTGGGTTACAGTGTCAGGTTCCATCTCATGGAGTATGCCTTAAATCCAGTTTTTAAATAGTTGTTGGTCACTCCCATAACCTTTGTGACACTCCTGCACCTGTGGGCATATCTTGTAGGTGGGTCACCATTATTTCTGGCATGGTTTATAGCTGATGAGATTGATGGCTACTTTTCTGCTCCAGTGGCATGTATAATACCTTCAGCATGATGAATGCTTCTCAGTAGGGATGACGCTTCCAGTTGAGCACCAGCTCAATTTCTCCATGTTTAATGACATAAATATGTAATATCTTCAGCAGTTGACTGTTACTGTCAACCTGTGGAAGGTAATCAATAGCATTGGCATAGCCTGTAATGTTTGGGGATCTGTAGAACCCTTTTGACCAGTGATTATAAAAGATACAACCTATCCCTGTTATTGGGGATATTTGTAGAATACCCTGCCCTCCCATTTACCTTCCCGTTTAATCCTTATTCTGATTTCTCCTTTATAAGACTATATTCTAGCCGGGTGTTGGTGGCACACATCTTTAATCTCAGCACTCGGGAGGCAGAGGCAGGCGGATCTCTGTGAGTTCAAGGCCAGCCTGGTCTACAGAGCTCATTCCAGAACAGGCTCCAAAGCAATACAGAGAAACACTGTCTTGAAAAAACAAAAAAGGACTATATTCTATCTCCCTTTCCTATGAAGATATCCCCTTACCCCTCACTAGATGCCATACCTTTATGACTATTCAAAGTGAAACACACATAGCTAATGTTCAAAACATAAAAGCAAACATTCACATAGAAGAGATACATGCAGCATTTGTCTTTTGGGGTCTGGGTTATCTCACCCTAGATTGTTTCTAGCTTCATACACTTATCTGCAAATGTCATAATTTAATTTTTCCTAACAACTGACATTAATTCCCTTGTATAAATGTATCCCATTTTCATTATCCATTCAACAGTTGATGGATACTTGGCCTGTTTCCGAATTCTGGTTATCATGAATAGAGCAGTAATGATCATTGGTGAGCAGGTATCTCTATAGTAAGATGCAGAGTCTTTTGAGTGTATGCCCATCTTGTGATGGGTCTACTTTTACCTTTTTGAAGAATCTCCATACTGATTTCTATAATGGGTGTACCCTGTACCAGTTTTCATTTCCTTCAACAATGAAAAAGTGTTTCCCTAATCACACATCTTTGTCAGCATGTACTGCTATTTGTCTTATTGATCTTGGCTATTCTGACTGGGATAAGATGAATCTCAGAATTACTTTAATGCACATTTCCCTGCTGGCTAAGAATGTTGAACATTTTTTAAGTGTTTCTCAGCCATTTATGTTTCATCTTGTGAGAACTGTTTAGTTTTACACTCCATTTTTAAACTGGGCTATTTATTTTTTGATGTCCAATTTTTTTTTAGTTTTTTTGTATATTCTAGATACTAACCCTCTGTCAGATGTATAATTGGTACCCTGCCCCATTTTGTAGGCAGCCTCTTTTTCTGAATGATGGTGTCCTTTGCCATACAGGAGCTTTTCGGTTTTATGAGCTCCCATTTATTGTTGGTCCTAATGCCTGCACCATTCTGTTTTTCTAAAGCTTTCAGGTGTATTCTTAAGTTTTTAATATCATCTCCTTCCATCTTTTTGTTTGTTTGTTTTGTAGGCACTTAATGTTATGAAATTCTTCTTAGAAGCTATGAAGTTCCTATCAGAACTGCTTTGTTGTCCCATTTTGTCATGTTATGTTTTCATTTTCATTCAGTCCTAATCTAATTTCCTTCCTGATTTCTGTCTTGACCCAATTTTCATTCAAGAATGAGTTGTTTAGCTTCTATGTTTCTGTACTTTTTACCACTTCTATTACCTTTTTAATGTAATATTTTAATTGAGTATTTAGAAATTTCACATAATGCACCCTGATCACACTCATTTCTCAGTCCTCCCAGGTCTAGCTCCTACTCTTGTGTCCTCCTCCACAACAAAAAGAGAAAAAAAGAAAACATCAACATGGCCTCAGGTGGCAGTCCAGGCCACATATGTCACCATGGCCTCTATTGACAGCCTGGTTCACTGATATCAACATGGCTTCAGTTGGCAGTCCAGGCCACACATGCCAACATGGCCTCTATTGACAGCCTGGTTCACTGACATCAACATGGCCTCAGGTGGCAGTCCAGGCCACATATGTCACCATGGCCTCTATTGACAGCCTGGTTCACTGATATCAACATGGCTTCAGTTGGCATTCCAGGCCACACATGCCAACATGGCCTCTATTGACAGCCTGGTTCACTGACATCAACATGGCTTCAGGTGGCAGCACAGACCACAGACATCCCCATGGCCTCTGATGGTAACATGGGCCTTTTATATCAATATGGACCTTGGAAGCAGGTCACAGAGTGGCAGCATGGGCCGCAGGTATCAAAATAGCTTAGGCTGTAGCACAGACCACACACATCAATATGGCCTCCAGCAGCAACATGGACCATGGACTGTAACATGGCCCACAGTAGCAGTATGGACTATGGACATCTACATGGATCCAGATGGCAGCATAGACCCTTGACATTTCCATGGTTGTTGGTGGTAACATGGGGCCATGAGCATCAACATGGCCTCCAGTGGGAGAACAGACCAGGGACATCCATACGGCCTGCATCCACAGACATCAACACAGCCATCAGCAACATCAAGGACCATGGTCACCATTATGGCCCTCAATGATAGTAAAGGACACAAAAACCAACATGGAATGTGGTCTCATCAGACAGTCACATGGTCCTCAGGCATTAACACTGCCTGGGGTGGCAGCAGGGACCACAATGCCAATATACTTATATTCCCATGCCCATGCATATGTGGGCTGTATTAGTTGGACTGGGCATGGAACTATCTACTATAGTCTGGGCAGCTTAGCAATGACTACATTCCCAAAGGAAAAATGACTACTTCTTCAGGAGCCATCAACCACCAATAACTCCCTAGCTAGGGGTAGAGCCTCATGAACCCACCTCTCATCTATGCTGAAATAAACTGAACCAAAGAGGTTAAAAAAAAAACAACTCTTTAACAGAGGAAAACATTAAAACACTGAAAAAAGATATTGAGTAAGACACTAGAAAATAGAAAGCATACCTCATAAGGTGACAGTTGTGTGGCTTGATCTGTTTGTGAGGTCCCTGGCAGTGGGACTAGGATCTGTCCCTGACACATGAGCTGGCTCTTTGGAACCTATTTCCTGTAGAGATGATGCCTTGCTCAACCTTGATGAAGCAGGGAGGAGCTTGGTCCTTACTCAACTTGGTATGCCATGCTTTGTTGACTTCTGTGGGAGGCCTGCCCCTTTATGATGGGAGTGGGTAGAAAGGAGGTGGGGAGAAGGAATGGGAGGAGAGGAGGGAGGGGAAACACTGGTTGGTATGTAAAATAAATTTAAAAAAAGACTCCACCATATTTATGGATCAACAGATTTGACATTATGAAAATGACTGTAGAAGACAATCTAAAGAACCAGTGTAATTCTTACCAAAATTCCAGTGAAAATATTTACAGACCTAGAGAAAAAAATCTTAAAATTCATATGGTAACATAGAAGACCACAGGTAGGTAGCTAAAGTATTCCTATTCAGAAAGAGCAATGGTGGTGGCATCACAATACATAATCTCAAATTTTACTATAGAGCTATAGTAACAAAAACAGTACAGGGATATAAAAAAACAGTCCTATTAGGAAAAAAAAAACCCTCTACACCTACAACTACTCTGTCAAAGTTGACAAATACACATTGATAAAAAAAAAGCCTCTTCAGCAAACAGTATTGGAAAATATTGATATCCACATGTTCAGAGAACCCACTAGAGAAAACCACAGTCACAGCACTCCCAAGATAAAGGCACAATCAAAGATTTCTCTGCAAGAGACTGTAAGAGCACAGGAATAGACCCAGGAATTGACAAATGAGAGCTCATCAAATCAAGCTTTTGTACAGCAAAAGAAACAAGTGTAGCAATAGGAGAAAATCTTTGTTGACTCTACTGCAAACAGGGGATTAACATGTAGAATCTACAAAGAATGATAATAATTACATATAAAAGCCCAATCATTTGTTTAATAAATAGACTAGTAAGCTAGATAAAAGACAAATGCACCCATGAACACTTGAGACTGCTCTTCCAGACAATGCAGTTTCCGCTCCCAGCACCCACATACTGGCATACAACTGTTACTCCAGTTTAAGGGATCTGATGCGTGCCAGGTGCACATGTTGTACACAGTCTAGTGACATTTCCCTTGGTTGTCTTCCATAGCTGCGTGGTAAGATCCTGTAACTGAAGACACATCACACTTGGTCTGCAGGATATAGAAAACTTAATCTCAAACCAACCTAGAAATGTTCTCCATGGTGGCTAGCTTTCATAGTACCAGAGGTGTTCTGCAGGCTACTGGGGAAAAAGGTAAATCTAGTATTAGAGCTTTCCTGCTACAGTATGGACCTGCAGCTCACGATGTGCTCATTGGTTTGGATGATATCGAGAAGCTAACTGGTTTCTAATTGGCTTTGAGGCTTACTCCACAGGAAGGAATTTGTTGCTTGGTACTATAATCCTGGTTACAAGCCCACAGTGTCTGGGAAGGTGGGAAGGCCATAGGCCCAGTGTAGAGCATGATTGTACTAGGCTTTCTTGGACTGCCACCCCTCAAATCACAACACAGAGTGTTATTATTAGTTATGAATGCTTGGCTTTAATTTAGGTTTATTTCTGGCTAACCTTTTTTGTTTGTTTTAACATAAAATAACCTGTTTCTCTTCATCTATGTTTTGCCTCAGGGTTTTTTGCTTTTCTTTCATTCTGCATGTCCTACTTTCCTGCTTTCTCCATGTCTGGCCGCCGGGCTGGCTGGCCCTTGTCGCCTCCCTCTCTTTCTCTCTCACTCTCCTAGATTCCTCCTACTAATTCTCTTTGCCTGCCAGCCCCACCTATCCCTCTACTGCCTAGCTATTGTTTTTATTAGATTAGTCAGATGCCTTAGGCAGGCAAGGTAAAACAAATGCATCATAAACAAATGTAACACTTTCCTAGTTAAACAAATAGTCCACAACACAGGTTGGTTTTTATTTTACTAAATATTTATGTTGTCAGTCAATGTAACTTCTACATGTTTATGTTTATACTCAGACAAGAGTTACTATGAAGTTTGATGAGAAGCTGTTTGAAATGGCTAGCCATCAAAAATTGATCAAAGCGTTGAGAAGACAGACTGAGTGCTCAGCCCTAATGGGACACCTTTATCATCCCCACTGAAGACAGAAGTTTCTTTTCCAGCCTGATCCTGCAGCCCTTTAGACCCAAATAAATACACTGAGAACTGTTTGGCCAATGGCTTAGGCTTCTTATTGGCTAGCTCTCTCTAAATTATTAACCCATTTCTATTAAACTGTGTATTGCCACAAGGCTCTGGCTTACCATAATGCTCTGGTATATTACTCTTTTGGTGGCTACATGGCGTCTCCTTGGTGGCTCCTCTCTGCCTTCCTCTTCCTAGAATTCTCTTCTTCTGGTATCCCTCTGCCTATACTTCCTGCCTATCCATGGACTGAAACAGCTTTATTCATCAATCAATAAGAGAAATATATAGCATACAAAAGGACATCCCCCATCTCCTCACCTCCCACTAAGGCTCAGGAAGCATTTCCACAGAGAAAAGGAAAGAATGTAAGAGCCAGAAGATGGGGAGGAGTACTGTGAAATGCTGTCTTCTGGATATGAAAACGCTATTACACATATAAGCTCACAGCTGCCATGGTGGCCTGCACAAGATCAAGCTGCCAAAATTTCATTCTAGATGGGCGTGGTACTCTCAAGGCCTCACCTCTTGTTTTTTTTTTTTTTTTTTTTTTTTTTGGTTTTTTTTACGAGACAGGGTTTCTCTGTATCGTTTGGAGGCTGTCGGTCCAGCCCAGCCTTGAACTCACAGAGATCCGCCTGCCTCTGCCTCCCGGGTGCTGGGATTAAAGGCCTCACCTCTTAATGAGGACTTATTGGCACCTGATAGCTGCTTGGGGAAAGAGAATTGTGGGGTTTTTTTTGTTTTGTTTTTGACAATGTTCCCACTAGTAGGTTTCTTGTGTTCCAGTAGATAACCTGTGCATATACCATTAGTACTAATTAGATTTAGACGACTATCAAGAAAGCTTAATAGAAGCCCAATGAGCAGTCCTGTAGGGTCATTTGACTTCTCAAGATAGCATAGAGAATCAAATAAATTATTTTACCCAAGAGATTAATTTGTTGATTAAGGAAGCATACATAACCATTTTATTAATGTGACTTCCTTACTGGCTTTTTAAAAAGGCTATTTTTGACTTACAATTTCAATGGCTGTACATGTTACAAAATTCTTTAAGCTGTACAGCACAAGAAATAACATTACTCAGTTAAAAAGGCACAAGAGAGAGGGTAGGGAGGACACTGTTGAAAAGCAGTAAAGTGACAAATAGGGGAAGGTGCCACCACAAGCAGCCAGGAGCATGTTTAAATTGCACTGAATAGTCTAAAGACAAAACATCTCATTTTTCTTCACATGAAACTGGTCTGACCTTCACAGTTCCGACATAACAGGACATGTTTTTGCCCTGGTTAACACTACTGCATTTTTGACTAGCAGTTAAGCAAGTACTCAGCATGAATAAATATAGTTAGGAATTGTAAGGGAAGATTCCCCAGGAAGGGTGCATATTAAGCAGTAACACAAATGTAAGCACTTCCAGTAAAATGGAATTCATAATGTAAAGGTCAAACCTGCCTAAGAGAGACTTTCAGGTAGACTATTGAGTAGAAAACCCAATTCTTGTTTTGTCTTAATAGTTAGTGGCGTATGGTAGCTGAGGTGATGGGTTTTGCTCGAGTGCAACATGCAGCACTATTTCATGCTTGATTCAGCAGAAATGTGGATCACTTCTGTAGGACTGTGATAAATGGCTGAATTCCCTCTTCCTGAAGCTGCGGTGGATGACTAAAGATATCATCAACAAGACAGGCTGTCAAAAGAGCAGTGTAGATACATTTTTAGCCGTGGTGTGTTTCTGTAAACACAGAGTATTGTGGGCTACTTTAACTTAAAATAGAAAGGAATCAGAAATGCTTACTTTTAAAATCTGTCACTGGATACTTTGAATTGATGTCACCGAAAGAGTTCTTTTCCTCTTGTAGCAGAACTTGTATAAAGACCAGAAGATCCCTAATGTCATGTCTAGAATGGTATATGAACCATCAAAGGTGGCCTGCATTCTTTGGACTTTCTTACATACTTTATATTTAATTTTGTCCTGGCCAAATGTGTACATTTCTCAAACATATTGAGCCCCATATTTATACTAGTCACTCTTCTGAACATATATAGAAAGAAGTAAAACATGGTTCTTGCCTTCAAAGCTTTGGGGGAGAGCAGGGACATGGGTCACAAACAACAAGATCCTTAACTTAATCTACTTACAAGGTCCTGTTGTCATGGAAAATAAACTTAGCAGTGCCGGGGAAGAGAGCCTATCTGATACTATCCAATTGTACCACAGGGAGAAATGCAGGACACTTTTAGGGGGACCTACCGTTTGAGGAGGGAAGCTTGCCAGTCTCTGGACCTGTTTTTACTTTTTCAAAAGATCTGGAAACTGTCACAAGCTCTTCCCTGCTCTTCAGGTTCATAAAAAGAATTTTACTGGGTCGTGTGTGAATGCTTAGAACATGGTAAGTGCACCATGCTTTTACAGCGGTCAGGGCGCATGCTTTTGTTTGTTCCCTTTTCTTCTTTTTCTGGCCTAAAGGCCATGGATTCTAAAATCTGAGTAGGAAAGGTAGAGGTAAACAAATACTAGACAAGTTTAGCTCTCTGGCTAGCCAAGAAAAAGTGCAATGATATTACTAAGCATTCTAGATAAGGAAGATATACATTAGTTCTTCCAATTATTGCTGTTAGCAGTTACAAGACATGTAGTGAATGGATTTATTATCTCTGATTACTGTGAGTCAGAAACCTGAAGTGCGAAGTCAGTGTTGCAGGCTACAGTCCAGGAAGTGGAGGGCTAGTTTCCACTGTAGGAAGCCCTAGGGGGAGAATATGTGTAAGTGTTACAGTTCTGAAGGGCAAGGGGTCCTGGCAAAGACATCCTGGCAGTTGGGAGCCAAAGGATACCACAAAGTCACACCCCACAGCAAACCTCACATGAGAGATTTATTGGAAAAGATACAAGAGGGTGGTTGCCTCTGCTTGGAAGAGAAATAGCAAAGAACTGAGTGGGAGACAGGCTTTATCTAGGGTTTCTTGAGGTGGGGGAGGGAGGTTTTCCAAGGTAGCTGGGGATTGGTGGGATTTTGTTGCCTGGTCTTGTTTTTTTTTTGTTGTTGTTGTTGTTTTGTTTTTGTTTTTGTTTCTCCGTTGTAGGGTGGAGCTTGGCTGCCTTTATCTTGAGGGGCTGAAAACAACCCTTATGGCCATTAGAGTTATCTAGGAGCAGGAGGACCTGGCCATTTGTACCTTGAGAGTCTTAAAATATGTCTCTTCAGTATCTGGAAGCGGACAACATTTCTGAGTGTGCAACTGCATTGTGGCTAGTGTTACTGTTATCACGTTAGCTCTCCTCCCTTTGAAATCCTAACTCCTAGCTTGTTCTTTTAAAGGAGGCTTAGAATCACAGGTGTCTTAGTTACTTTTCTGTTGCTATGATAAAACACCATGACCAAAGCTAACTGGGGGAAAAAAGGGTTTGTTTCAACTCTTGGGTCACACTCATCATCTAGGGAAGTTGTTATAGGAACCCTAAGCAAGAACCTAGAGGCAGGAAGTGAAGCTGAGATCATGGAAGAATGCTGCTTATTGGCTGTATCAAGTTGACAAAGCAAATAGACAAAAAAGCTAGATAGCACAACAGGCCCTACCTGGATAAGATCCCAATTAATTATAGATCATGATCTTTTAATTTGACAGTATCTATTGAGTCCCTATCAATGAAGGGACAGTAGTCCACTTGACCGTGTGGTTCTGGCAGGCCTTGCCCTTCTCCCTCATTCCCTCTACCTTGCTGAAAAACCATTAGAATACATTTTAATAGCTAGCCACCAAGGTCTAGTTCCTTATTTGGTCACTTCCTCGTCTTAAGGCTGACTACTAAGGTCCAGTTATCAAAGTATTGAAGTCCAGCAATCAAAAAGTCCCCTTTGGCTCACTTAATTAACGTGCCCAATTAAATTAAACACCTCATCTTAACACAGGTTTTCCAATTTTGCCTTTAAAAGCCACCGCTTTTCTATGTGCCACATCTGTGTGTCCAATATCCAGAAGTAGTTCTTTGTCCTCTGCCCAGGACAAATACCCCTAACCTCTTTCCCTTGTTCCCCTCCTTTCTTCCTCATCCACTATCTCTTATTTGTCTCTTATTCTCTGCCCTCTGACCCTCTGGGGCAAATAAATCTCTTTTGTGCTGAGAACTTGGTCTTGGGGGTCCTAAGCTGATACTTTTCTTTTCAATCAACATATAAATTGAAACTGATAGCCTCTGGAGATCACTGTGGGACCCTGTTTGAGCCATTATCCAGCCAAGTGTCAGATATAAAGACAGGAAAGCAACATTGTTTGTGGTGCTGCTGTGTTTTGTCCTTGATTTCTAGTTGCTCCTAACATGTTTGTGCCTCTGCACATAAATGGAGCTGCTTGGAAAAGAGAGAAGTTCACTGGGGATGTTGAGCTGTTGGCACTTATGTGACTTCTAGGAACATGAACAAATGCCTACTCACTCCAGATAGAGTACCATCAACAGACCAAAGTAATGATGCCACAAAGGAGCAACTTGTCAAACAATAGCTTATTGATCTTATAGTGTATATATGGGCTGCTTATAGGAACATTGGTAACTCAAAGGCATCACCATAAAGCATGGATGGGGAGCCACTGCAGCTGCATCTCTGGAGTTCTTTGCAGAATTGCAGACAGCTTGGATGATCAGAGTCTCTTCTCCCTGGCTGTTGCCACTGTTTAACCTATTGGGTGGAGTCTTGTCAGTCTTGTAAGTTTCGGGAGCTTTGAGAGACTTGTAGGTTGTGTTTATTTACTGAGTCTTTTGTACCTCTTCCACCTTTATGAGGGTGTTGATACACAGCTGAGCTATGTGCAATTCCTATAAGGCAAAAGAAAGTCTTAGTAGTTGGTTTTGGATTTAGAATTTAGGATTTATCTATTAACTGCAATTAACATCTCCTAACTTCACTTAAATGTGGACAGCAGCCCTGTTGTGTCCAAGCCTGAGCAGAATAAATGATACACTAAAACCCTTGGGACGGTTGAGTGTTGAAAGAATATTTTTTACTCTTCAAGTTTTACACACA